TGCTGGCCTCGTGGAACGAACCATGGCCGCCGGGACGGCTTGACCACCCTCTTGGCACCTAATTCGTCTTGGCTTTTGTTTCCCAAAACCCTAACGTCTGGCGCCTCCATGGCCAACAATGATATGATCGAACCTGATCGACGCTGTATGTGCCTTCCTGACTCGGCCTGCGCCCATTACCGACACTTTACTCGGCACAGCTAGGTCAACACGCCGTCTGCTTTTCCGCTACGCACCGGCTCCAGGCACATGGATTACCGCAGAATAAGCGCACCCCGCGGCCGTCGAACGCCATTTCTTTGCCTCGGTCTGTGGCTGAACGCAACTTAGTCCCCAATGGGTCTGAGTTGGGTCCGCCCTGCCAGCCGTCAGTCACTGTTGCCTCCACGTGCTCGACAACATAACTTGGGCTTCTTTGTGCGCGTATCTGTTGGCTGCTTGGTCGTCAAGCTCGTTCCGTCCCCGGCTTCAGGGGGGGGGTTGCCCTTGTAATCGGTTCCATGATATTCGACGTGCGCAAGGGGGAAAAGTTCCTGATGCTCTGTCGAACGACATATCCATCTGCTGCACCTCAAGCATTTGTCACAGCATCCGCCATCCGTCAATCTCCCCCTCACTGGAGCCCCTCTTTTCCTGGCTTCCCCCCCCCCCCCCGCCCTTCCCTTTGGTCATTGCGTCCCGGCCGGGACGCCTCACACGATCTCTCGACGGCTTCTTGCACCCAAGACTATAGATCATCAAGCAACGTTGTACAGTCTCTGCTATGTTGCAAAAGCCACAGCACGGCCGGCCCAATACCGGTCGGTGTCTTCTTCAGCACATGCGCAGCTCCTGAGCGCAAGATGTCCACCGTTCCGTTAGTTTACCACCTTGCGGTATACTCTGCACGCTAACATCCACAGCTGCAACTTCTGCATGCCCCGAGCCCGAGATTGGCGAGATCATCGCCCGCCATGATTGCGCTGCGTGAGTTTCCCGCTTCCTGGCAGTAAATGAGGTGTAGCGTGAGACGTCCATGCCCCGATCCTTGGGATGCAGTTCCTGTGTCTCTGATAGAGTGCGGATCATCCCATCACCTCCCCTCTCTGGATAAGAAGCCGTGTGCTTCGGTGACATGTCGTTGATCAACAAAAAGATCGCGATCTACCAGCTTTGTACAGCTCGCTGTGACGTGTGGGAGTACCGTTGCCAGTCTGATTAATACTATGTCATTTGTATGTGACTTGGCGGAGCCCCGATAATGGTTTTCTAGTAGCTGTCCTGCCAAGGTGCCATGTTAGTCCCTCCGAGGGCATTTCACAAAGATTCCCAAAGACTATCTTCTCGGACAAGTGCCCAATGGTAGTCAAGCCCTATGCCCTGGCTCGGGAAATCTCTCAAGACCCTCATCAAGGGCTTGATGCAGTTAAACTTCCGTCAAAAGGGTCCAACCATTTGCCACCACGGGTCTTCTGCCGTTCTCCAACCCACAAGCTAGTGTTTGATAGGCATACGGACCACCCGGTGAGAATCCGGAGTGGCGTGGAAGTCTCTTTCTCCTCGATCCCGTTATTGCTCAGGAGAAAGTGCACTGTGAGAGACGGCAAACCGACTTCAGATGATGATGCTTTAGCATGATATGCAGGCAAATAGACCTCACTCCCTAGCGTCGGGAAATGCCCCTTGGACAGTTGGCCCGGGTTGATGGCAACCTTGTTAGTAGCCTCACGGGAATGTCCACCCTCAAAAAGCGTCTAATCTATTTTCGAAATGGGGGTTGGCTGGTTGGCTGGTTGGTCACTGGCGGTAGTGGTGGTGGATTTACCTAAGGTACTATGTAGGTTGTCATTGCGGGATGGCATGACTTGGTCGTCATATCAAGAGCGTTGGACGTACCAGAGCACGCGCAACTAACGGATTCCTTTGAGGCTTGCTGCACCCAAACGTTTGACGCTGGGCTACGGTGTGGCGCGTTACTAACGCCCTGCTCTTGTCATCCGCACCACTCACGTCGGCTGACACGCGCCACAAGGTTTCTGGAAAGTCTGAAAGTCTGCCAGACTATCGGACATGTAAACTTTGTTTTCTGAGACCGTGGTGGTGTGTACCTTCTTGGTCCCAATCCCTCTCGCCAAATCGTCCCAATTGTGGCTAACCGGATGGACTAGGTGACTACCTAGGTAGACCAGCGATTGTCGTTGCGGTCGTCAACAGACGGGGGGCGCATTTACACTTTGTCCGCGAGTCAGGCCCCTTCTCATCCGGAGTTCATCCCTCGGAGGCTTTGAGGCACTTTTTTGGCTTGTTGGTTTTATTTGTTAGCTTTGTGTGGTACCGACACACTCGCAACTAGTCTAGGCAACCGGGAATCTGGAATCCGCGATGAGCCGGCATTACCCAGACCACGTCAAACTTTCGGGATATTTGAAAGTTGATGGAGAGAGAGAGAGAGAGAGAGAGAGAGAGTGTGTGTGTGTGTGTGTGTGTGCGAGAGAGAGGCCTTGGCTGGAATTCCCGAGACCGGCGCATCCCGTCCTACATCGATGGGCTCAGGGGAGGAGGAGGCGGCAACGGCGATCAACCCGGCGGGCGGATGTTGAAAGCATCACGGACCTGGAGGGCGGTGGTCGTCTGGTGCACCGCACTGCCCAAACAGCGCCCCCTTTTTCCCCCTTCCCAACTCTCTCGAGACCTTCGGATCAAGCTGAGAGAGGACGGGTTTCGACGGCGGCGGCCTCCCTCCTCCTCCCGCGGATCTAGGCATCTCCTTCGGCACTTACGGCACCGAAAGGGGGAGACCGTTGAAATCTGATGAAGCGCTTAGCGCAGACATAGCCTCTCACTGTGAAAAAGGACGCATGGCGGCGTCAGTCACACTCACACACTTCATTCACTTCATTCACTTCACTTCACTTCACTTCACGTCACTTACTCACTCGCGCTAGATTACACCATAGGGTCCCCCCATTCCCGAAACTGAATCGAACGTCAAACTCTATAAAATTAGCTTGCCTGGGCCAAGTGGTTTGTTGCTTCTTCGTCTCGATGGAGGTGGCGGGCGGCGGTAAAATGAGACAACGGCAAAAGGAAGCGAGTTAGACGCGAAGGCGCTGACAAGCTTCGGCCGAACAAGCCTTCGAAAAAGCTCCCGTCTCTCTGGTGTGTGAGACGGACGGAATTCCGCAGACGCCTGATGGGCTAGCTAGATTCATGATCACTCATCTCGTTAGGGATGGGAAATCGAACCATGATGGCGATTCCTGGTACCGGGTATGACGGTAATTCAGAACCTCTTTGACGTTAGGGGAGAGAGAGATGATCGCTCGGGGAAAGGCGTCAAAGTCTAAAGAGAGCAGTGGTCAATTAGTCACTTTCTCCTTCTCTCTCCTCTCTCTCTCTCTCTCTCTCTCTCTCGCTAGTTGCTACTTTCAGTCAAGTTAGGAAAGAAAGCTCAGACCGTCTTAAAGGAATATTGGACCCTACCCAGCGCCCGCTCTCCCGCATCTTGGCAAGGCACGAGTGACGAGAGAGAGGGAAAAACCAAACGGTTTGCGGGCGCGCCTTGTTTTGATGGGACGAGGTGAAGTCGGAAAGGTCCTCTGGAGGCTGGAGGTGGGAGCCGACGTCGAGCCTCAAAAATGCTCCAAGGCCCAAGGCCACCACCCCCCGGGGGCGGATCATGGATGGCCGATGGATGACCCGACAGGATGTTCACGGGTTGTTTCTGCGCCAGTCATTTTGGCATATCCGCTAGACACCGCCCTGCTGCTGGCAGTCTAGCACCCCTGGGCTTTTGTGGCCTTTTTTTCCCCCTTCTTCATCCGTTAGGGCGGGTATGGTGCACGCCGTGCAGTTGGGGGGAAAAGGGAAAGAAGGAAAAAGAGGGCTGAATGGAAAGAACAGCCCGGTCGAAATTGAGATCTGCGTGTGCGACGTTGGGCAGGTAATATGAATCGCATCTTTCCTCCTTCTATTCTCGCGTTCCTTTGTTCGTGTTTACTTTTCGGCGCATGGGGGTAGGTAGGTACAGAGTAGTCGGGAGGTAAAAAGTAGGGTGAATTATTCTTAGAAGTTGGGGCCCATCTTGGCCTGGCGCGCGTGGGGAAAGGAAACCTCAGGGCACCTCAGGCTCTAAAAAATACAAAAAAAAGTTCGAGTCGGACTCGTGCCGTCGGTCGTTTCGCTTGTTTCCGGCCCAGCTACCCCCGTCTCGCGGGTTTCGCTTTCGGATAGGTTCCGAGTGGTCTAACGCGGCCCCCCTCCCCGCCTGCTGAGCTTCTGCATTGCATTAATAAACGCAAAGTTGCCCAAATTTGCCATCAACAGCTCAAATCCCCGATGGCACAATTGGCTAGCGCGTCAGACTGTTAATCTGGAGGTTGGTGGTTCGAGCCCACCTCGGGGAGTCTTCAGCGGTTAAATCCCGCCCTCGCTTGAGCGCTTTCCTTTTGTAGTTCTAGCTTTATTCTTTTTGGCTGATCTTGCATGGCGAATGAAGAAACTGAGCCTCAGTCAGAGTTGATTGATCGTTGTTATTTAGACGATGTTGTCTGTTGTATCAACTTTGCGAACGAGGGGTTCAGAGATTCGGGCATGTTGTACGGAGTACATGGGGATGGTGCAAGATCTTCAATATCTGTAGACTTAACTTGGAATATAAATCATTCTCGGCATTCGATCACTCCATCCATATGGCTGCTATCGCGATCGTAAATCTAGGCTTTTCAACCTAAAGTTGAGCGAGTGGTGCAGCCGACCACCCATAGTAATCAGAACCGCCGTGATGGTATGCCGCCAACGTGCAAGCATTGAACTTCAAGTACTCCAAATCGTCCTCATTTGCGGCGTCGAGCAGGCATATTCGTATCGATAAATTGGAGGTTGTCTCCAGCTGATCGGTCGCAATAATGCCACACTAGATAGACTTGATTGTGGGAGGTTGCCTGTCCCACATTGTTTGAACGGCATATTCTATGGGTCACGGACATAGTATTTTGCCTCGAGGCCGGCAATATAGAGCTCTCGACCTTTCGTGGTGATTATTAATCTTTCTTATGAGTTAGAAGAGCAGTGCCACGTGTATCTTTCCAGGTGCCTTCTGACAGTAATGGATGGCTTCGGCCGCACTTATGACGGTCATGTGCTGCAGTGGTGCATTACAATATGCTCAATGGCGAAGCGCGGCCTACTCAGTCGGCCGGCTCTACATGAGCTCCATTTGCGTTAAAGAGAACAGAGCGAAAGGAAAGGCTCTGATGCGGAACACCATTGCTAACGAGAGGTCGAAAAGTTACGGTTCGCACCGACTTATCTACTGCCAACTGCTCTAACCAACGACAGGAATCAACTCGCTCTGATCTAACTATATCTAGGAGATCCCATGACGGAAATGCCACTCTTTCTCATCAATGAGTTGTTCTCCAGTGAAGGATCTAGAGACTGATAGTAACAGAAATGTAGCGCTCTTTCTTAATTTTCTGCGTCATCCGCCTTCAGAGGTTTTCTTCCGTAAATGGACCAACTATCAACGTCAGTTAGCACCTGAGCTTCGAAGATAAGTAGCTGGGTATTACTCACACGTTGAAGTAAGCGTGGATAGTCTTGTCCGACAAGTCCCTCCGAGCCTCCATGATGTGGACGAGTGCCTTTTCCCTCGTCCAGTTGTGTGCTCTCGTGAGAGGTGCCATTAGGAAACCTTCCCAAGCGAGCGACACATGCTCGTAACTCCACAAGCCAAGGTCCTTGTAGTGAGGGTCCTTAGGCCAGGTGTTCGTGGGCCACTTGTACTTGAGAATGTGAACGTCCTCGAAGCCGACCTCTTCCATAAAGTCCTTGAGGCGTCTCGTGTCCTCAAACGGACGGCCAAAGATCTTGGCGGCCGATTCCCATAGGCGCACACTTTGCATGAGGGCCGAGTCGTCTTTGAGGGTACCGTCGTCCGACAGGGGGATGATGTTACCCTCGTTTGCCTCTAGATAACCCCCAGGATTCAAGTTGCTGTTTGGAAAAAGGCGTCAGCGTAAACACTCCATGAAAGACGATGGGGAGATTCACTCGTAACACTGCTTAAAGAGCTTTTTCCAGTCAGAGATACTCCACGTCATCATCCGGCTGTGGATGTAATCGAAGCGCTCCGTAAAGATCCAAGGTTCTTCAACATCGTCGATTTCGAAGCGGACGTTGGGAGGGACACTTTTCCCCCTAGCAGTCAGCATGTGATGAACTTTCCCATGGACTCGTCACGTCGAGACCACGGGGAGGGGGACACACAAATCCGGCTGCGCGGCAGAAAGATCGACACCGAGAATCTAGGGCGCAAATTGATCAGTACGAAGTCGATACCAACGGCCGTCGCATGCTCCATCTACTGACCTCGGCTTCGGGGTGTTCTTCGCCAAAGTCAATGGCCCAGATACCACTGCCCGTCCCAATGTCTAGGACCCGTCCGACCTTAGCTTCCGGGTCGCTTGGGGGAGCGTTTCCCAGCCGACCTCGGAAGGTACGTATGAACAAGTTGTGTTGAACATCTGGCCGGCGCTTCGTCAGTTTCATATGTCCGTGGAGAAAAAATTGAAGCAAATATACCAAGGCGGTCGTTTTCTCTTTCGTCATTTGGAATCCAGTATTCTAGGCTAAGTCAGATTACGCAGCACAGCACGCCCTCGATATCGGCAGGAATGTGAACTCACTGCCGTCCTTATACTTGTGATACGTTCTTCCATTCTCGTTTCTATAATCAAGGATCGAGCTGCTCAAACTTGTTGTCGAGGAAGCGATACTCTTTCACTTGGTAAGCTTTCGAAGACCTAGGGCTGGAAACAGGGCATCAATCACACACCTGGTGGACGGAAGAATCGTCATCTGTAAACTAGATGAAGAATCACGTCAGAACATCTGGACCAATCTCATATTTCGGTCGCATTACCTCCTCAGCCACAACGACAACCCCGTGTTCGGTCTCAGGTTCCGGCCGGGTCTCAGACACCGGCTGGGATGACTGAGCAGTGGCCTCGGCAGCTGGCAAGCTGGCAGGTGCTTGGTCCTCGGTATTGCCGCCGGGACACATCGTGAGACCGGTTGCGCAGAGATGATCCTATAGTATGGCGATGAACACTGCGATGCAGTTGATATAATTCAGCTCGACGACAAGTTTCGACATTTTATCATTTTGGAAAGTGATAAAGCCCGTCTTGTTACCCCTCTCCTTGGCTAGAGACAATTATGCAGGTTTGCTACCAACAGGCCACTTTCGCGACAAGGATCTGGCCGCGTGGAGACGTTACCTGCAGATAGGGAACAAGCTGCATGTTGGAAAGGGATATGAGTCCCGTGAGAGGCTTTCCAACGTCGGTAATATGGCCGCGTCGTGACTGTTGGTTACTGACAACCAGCCAACCTGTTGAAGTACTAGCCCCCACTAGGAAGGAGGGTTTGTTTGCGACGCGGCATAGCACTGCAGCTTTTGCATTTGATAGTATGCCTTCTTTGGGCTTGAAATCCGTTGCATACCAACTCTTTGCTCTGGGTCGCATGGCGCGCATTGGTGTCCCCGCCAGAGCCCGATGTGATCTCCTGCCGCGCTGCCAACGCCTTCCGTGAACCAGGATGCGGGATGTTGGCAGCAAGCCGTTCTAGACCTCGCACAGAGTGCGAAAAGCATCGATTACTGCTCCGCTATCTGGTGATAGGGTCTTGACGCTGCCAGGTTTACGAGATATTCGGAATCTCTCTCTGTTGAGCGAGTGGACCGACGACTTAGTACTGAGACCAGCCGCCTGCCTGCCTTCGAAGCTTGCAGGTATGTTTTCGTCTGTCCTGAATAGGACTGTTGTGTCTCTTGACCTACGAGTAAGCTTCGAACTTCTCTATCATGCTTCTACAAGAGCAACATCAGTCTGAACTCAACTTTGTATGCTAGACATGAGCAGATTTCCATTTCAGACAGCCCGCTTCAGCTGGCCTGGTGTTGGAATTCGAGGGTAGGGGTCGAGCGTCTGTATAACTTGATCAATCCGAAGTACGCGTCTCTCAAAAGCCTGCCAGTGCCTCAAAATACTTGGCAAGATACGCCAAAGCTACGTACGGCTTGACATTGTGCATTGACTATACTTGTATTGTGGAGAAGCTAAACTCTCATGCTGGAAATAGCATCTGAAAAGGGGCGTATTTTCGAGAATCTTTGATCTCTAAACGTTTCTCTCGTGTCCAGATGGGGTTCTTCGGTTGATTTGGCAAGTGAACAGGATTGTATATAAGTATCTGCGAAGCCAGGGACTAGGCTATCTTCGACTTTGTGTTTCTTCCACGAAAGAGCAGCGACTTTCGCGGCTTAAGGTCGTTGTCATTGGGCGCAATTCAGAACGAGACTCACAAGCAAGTATACCATTCACCGTTTCAATAGATATTCAAGCTCACATTCAATGAATGCCAATTTGGCATCTTCTGTCGAGTTTCTCCTGTGTCTAAGGGGCGTTCTACTTTTTGTTGAAACCTTGGTTCAATTTCTCAATTTTTCAAGGAGTTGACGTACATTGAGCTATTATTGGAACTGGAACGGCGAGGAAAGTTTGCCCGAAGAATGATGGCGAGTATCGCGCAGCCCGGCGAACGTTGCAGCTGACTGTATGTTATTACATCCGCAAGATGATTTTCTTGAAACGTGGACTGAAGCTACGGCATTATGGCCCACGAGAAGCCCCCTCTTCTTCCCAGCATCCCGTCAACTTTGATCAGGTGCCGCGCGTACCAGATCGGGCTCCCCGATTCCCCATTATCGACATTATCGAGCCACCAGATTCTAGCTGAGCTTAGGAATAATATCAACAAAGCCAAAGCCCTTCTGCTGACCAAAAAGGCTGCCTTCCGCCTCCACGACTCCGCTGTAAAACCTACCCGAACCTGCACCCTTCTCTTGGTCTTGGCGAATGCTCTTGATGACAAGGGCATCGCCATTGTCGAAGAAGAGCTTCCAGTCCTGAGCGTACGTCGTGTTCGTGACCGGGGAAGTCCAGGTAGTCGCGTTCCCGGGCATCATCTTGAAGCGAACGATGTGAAGCCCGTCTTCGGCACGGATGGTGGCGAAGCGCAGCTGCTGGCTCGGCTCTGCGGTGTCGGAGTACCAGATACTGGCTCTGATACCGCCAGGGAAGTTGAGTCCGAACCAGGTGAAGTTGTTGGGGCCGCCGACGCCGTGCTGGCGGTCGTACCAGGTCAGAGATCTCGTGGGGTCGACCTCGAGAGTGGTTCCGTTGATGGTGAAGGAGCCCTGGGTCAGGCAGCTCGGCAGCGACCATTGCGTCGTGGTCCCGGTGCCCCAGCGGAAGCGACCGACACCGGCGTTGAGTATGACGGGCGACGAGGCTTCAAAGGTGAGGTTGAACGCGAAAGCATCATACTCACCCCACGTGTTCAATGTCGAGAAACTGTCACTGGAATCGCTTCTGAAAGCGGAACCCTGGACTTCAATGTCGAGCAGACCGTTCTTGATTGTCATGTTTCCTTGCAGCGGCGCGAGTCCAGCTGTGAGCCAGTAGTTGTTGGTGTCTTCGAGATCCAGGATTGATGACTGGAAGATGCTCTGGCCGGTACCCGTCGGCATCTGCTGAGACATGATTGCATACTGACGATCGTTGGAAGCTGTGACAAAGGAAGCAGCCCAGTAGGAGTTTGACGCGTCAGAGGCCAGTTGAGACTCCTGGAAGGAGTACAGAGTTGGCAAGTTCGACTAGATGGACTATCTTTTAGCACAAATCTCTTTGTTTTCTTACAATGGCTGTGTCTTTGGAACTATGGAAGGGACGTATCTTACCCCGAGACTGTCTATACCTGTGGTGTCTGGTACGATGTCGAACCTCACGGCGGAGGTAACGCCGACCAACAGTGCCCAACAGCCGCCGCTCAGACGTCCCATTTTGTTGTCTTCTTGAAGCAGAGGCAAAAGAATGTGAGAGGCTCGGATGATGACGATGAAGCTACCTGGAGACTGGTTGGGTAGTGGAGGGTGGTAGACTGCAGGGAAGCATCGAGAGACAAGGGACTCTTATAGCAAGCAAGTGTGAATGCTTCGGGCTGCTCAAATCTTATTTTGAAAAGGAAATTAGGAGTCGAGAGTTGCCAAGCTGTTGGAAAACTTTGAACTGGTCCGCTGGCAGGGCTTTAGAGACTCACAAGCTCTATCCACAGTTAAGAGGGGCTTATCAGCCCTCCGTTGACAGTAAATTGATATGTTTTCAGCTTTTTGCTTGGGCCTCATTACGAACTTGATCGAATTCCATTGATACGGCAATTTCAAAGCATGCTTGCTGTGTGTAAGTAAGGTGAGCAAAGCCTGCGTTTTCGAGTGCCGCTCACGTAAACAACAAGAGGAGACGGATCTTCCCATTTGGAACGGAACCCCGTCGAACTACATCCCGTTTCTCAGATCGACAGAAGCCGGGTTCCTGAGTCGGCCCGTCACGGTACCGACCACCGAGCTCGAGGCCGCGTCTCTCGCACTGCTTGTGGTAGGTCATGACGACGGACTCGGCACTTGTGTGGACCGTTGAGGGAATTGCGTGCCAGGTAGTATAGCCACCCAAGCCACCCTCATTTACGAACCTCAGCTCGATGTTACTGAAGCGTGTAAACTCAAGAGAACTCTCGGCTTCCTGGGTCGCGTAAACTACATCTTAATAGTTGATGGGCTACTCAATACAGTCTGAATTGTATTGAACCATAGAGAAAGACAAAGCAGTCCACCGAGCCGCGTTGAGGTTCGAAGGGCAACGTGCGCGGGCGTCCCAAATACCTCGTGTTGCTTCAGTCCGAACTGCAGTCGTTACGGCCGAACCACGCACAAAAGCCCGAGCTCTTGTCAGGTTTTAGATGAAGTTCATCCGTAGACGTAAAGCACTGTGGAGGACAGTCGCCGTGCCGTCTTGAACAAGTTTTGGTGGCGAGCAGTGGAAACGACTTCCCAAAGCGGACTTGGTTTACCGAGGTCTGTGGAGCTTTCCCGTCGATCTGACAAACGCTCCCGAAACTTTGGCCTGGATTGTTCCCTCAACAGCCCCTATCAAAATGGTAATTGAATGACTAGTTACCCCAGATTATGCATATTGATACTGATGCCATCCTGGATGTGTCAACGGAACTTTTCGTGACTGCAATCGTAAGGGTCCCCAGAGCCCCCGAATCCCGTCCAAATGCCTTGATGGCACTTGTGCCTATTATGTGCGTCAATCGGAGAGAACCCACCCCCCAGCGAACATTGACAATAGCTGAGCAGAGTCTAGAGTCTCTACGGAGTAAAGGGGTCTAGGAGTGCGCGACAACACCGACATTATAGGTGACGTTGCAGGTGGTGGAACTTGCTCCATCATAATGTCCAAAACCGGTAATTCGGTATCGAGCCACTTACATAGGGACTGCATTGAAATACCAACGATGATGCGAGTGAAGTTTACGAGTTCGGTTATTCAGAGATCACAGACATTCAAGCACGCCATCTTTTCACATATTCTGATTGAAACACCTCTTTTAAACATGACTGACCAACCCTTCAAGGTCATCGTCGTCGGCGGGGGACCGAGTGGTATCACAGCGGCGCACGTACTGGAACGTGCTGGCATCGACTTCGTCGTCCTCGAGAGAAGAGATAGTATTGTCGACGATGTCGGTGCCAGCTTGGTTCTCAGCCCTGGCTCCTTGCGTGTATTCCATCAACTTGGAATCCTCGAAAATCTCATGGAAATTGGCAACTTGTTGTCATCAGGCACGGGTTTCACCTCTGACGGCCATAAGTTCAAGCAAAATCTGATTGGCGATTACATGATCAAGAAGTAAGCAGTCGTCTATTGCAATGCTTTAGATGGAATCTCTCACTAACAGCAGCTGCTTTCAGTCACGGCGGAGGCCTCACCACGTTCCACCGCGCCCACCTGATCCAAGTCCTCTACGATACCCTCCCCGAATCAGCAAGAGCGCGCTACTTCACCGGAAAGAAGCTCGCAAACATCGAGTCGACCGAGAAGGGCGTCACGGTGACCTGCGAAGATGGCTCAACGTATTCCGGCAACATGGTCATCGGCGCCGACGGCGTCCATTCCGCCACCAGACGCCAGATGCGCAAGCTCGCCCTCGCAGAGGACCCCAAGCGCGAGTGGGACCCCGTCAACCCGTACAAGATCCAGTACCAATGCCTGTGGGCGTCGTTCCCGCGACCCACCGCCGCCGGACAAGGGTGCGAGACGCAGAGCAAAGATAAATCCATCATGTACCTCACCGGCAAGGAGCGCGGTTGGATCTTCCTCTACGAGAAGCTGACGGCGCCGATCCCTGAGAGGATCTCCTTCACGCCCGAGCAGCTCGAGGCGTACGCCGAGCGGTTCGCCGACTGGCCCGTCGCGGAGAACGTCACGGTCAAGGACGTCTTCAAGGAGCGGTACAGCGCGGGCGGCGCCGGTCTCGAGGAGGGCATCTGCAAGAACTGGAGCTGGGGCGGCCGCATCGTCCTTGTCGGCGACGCCGTGCACAAGTTCACCCCCAACGCCGGTCTGGGATTCAACAACGGTCTTCAGGACGTCGTCGCCGTCTGCAACAGGCTGCAGAAGGTCGTGGTCAACGACAACACGCCCTCCCCCACCGATTTGCAGAAGCTCTTTGACAGCTACCGCGAGGAGAGACACGTTCTCCTAGAGAAGGACTTGGATGCGTCGGCGCGGTTGACAAGGTCGCAGGCCTGGGCGTCGACGTGGGATTGGATCATGGCGAGATACGTCATGGCTTTCTCGTTCGTGCAGAAGATTTTCTTCACGTTGAGCTTGTCACCCGCCATTCAGAAGTCCAAGGTATTGGACTTTGTACCGGCAAAGGAGGTTTTCAACGGCAGATACCAGTGGTTGACCCCTTTCCCGAGCGAGAAGTAGTTTGGGATGCTGCGTGCGTTTTCTTTTGTTCTACGGTTTCTTTTGTTTTAGCTTATTAGAGCGTTTCAATTTGAGCGTGAAGCAGGAGTTGGATAAATAGATTGGAGCGACTAGAAGTTGTATGAGTAGCAGCAATAGAGGCATTTCTGTTTTCAATTATGCCCTGTCTTGCCTATTAGTGACTTGTACGGTTAGTGTCACTGACTTCGACTTGCTAGTGATTAAGCCAACGTTGGCCAACAAGTTTCAACTGATCCACCAGCAATTGTGTGGGAGGTTCTGGCCTTTCGCACAGAGTCTTGGGACTCGCAAACAGAATACCTCGTGCTGACTGGTCCCTCGCAGACGTTGACTCAAGGCGGCGCTCCGCAACTTTGATCTGTTTCTGGGCAAAGCGCGCGGGAGGAAGCGAAACCCTAATTAATCCCCGGGAGTCTGAAAGTTGCAGTCGCTAAGCATTCTAACTAACCTTACCGTCTTGGGCTCTGCCATGAATCTGCATTGGAGGGAATGGAGGGAACCGGAGAGACGAGTGAGTTTTTCTTAGAATCTCCTACGCCATATCTAGCGTTTTTGCGGTGTAAGACGGGGGCCATGGAGCAGCTCAGGACGTTGGTTCCCGCGGCTCAACGCAAGCGACGACGGGATCGTCGCCGTTCAGCGGGTGATTGCTCCCTCCGTAGTCCGTAACCATCCGCGACGGGGGCTTGAAAACATGAGCAAAAATACCGACCGGCTGACCGTTCGGATGGACTCACGGACACCGAGCCCGGGAACGACAACTGGTGAGTTTTGGCCCCACATCGGCGACGGCGGCCCAGCGGATACCCTGCCTCTTTTCGGTAAGAGATTCCACTAACACGCCCGTCGATACGTGTAGACTTTGAGAGACTGATCATCGATTCCCGTGCCTGAGCTTGAATGAACTTGATGAATGCACTTTTTATAGACTCTCATAGACTCATGCTAGGTCTATACTCATCTCCGTCTCTGGTTACAGTTACGTCTTGACGCCCATCCCAAGATCATGGCATCATCTCACGGAAGCTGCCGCTGTGGCAACATCAGAATATCGTTCAAAGGAGACCCGGTGATCACAGTCCGTCCATAACCCGAAGACTACCACGCTTCTTGTATTACTCAGATACCGTTCACTAATCCATAACCCAGGCCGCCTGCCACTGCCTCGACTGCCGAAAAGTCTCGGGCAGCGCCTTTGGCGTAAGCCTCCTCGTCCCAGCCGCCGTCTTCACATGCGAAAAGGGAACGCCGGCAAATTACGCCAGCGCATCTGACAGCGGCAACGAGGTCGTCAACCACTTTTGCGGAACCTGCGGCGTCACGCTCTGGGCCGACGGGGTGTCTTCCCCGTTCAAGTTCGTCAAGGCCGGTGTGTTGGATGATCCTTCCGCGCTGGATCGGTTGAAGCCCGCTGCTGAGATCTATATCTGCCGTCGTGCCTCGTGGTGTTCGGCATTGGAGGGGACTCAGCAGAAGGAGAAGATGTAGATGGGTGGATTGGTCCCGGGTGGGGGAGGGAGGGAGGGTGGCTCTTTATGCGTGAATTCGACTGCGCCGTTTTGTAACCTTGTCAGCTTGCTTATACAGAGTATTGCTTACTCCGTATACGAAGTGGCTTACAACAAGAGTGATCCACGCTTGCCGATCTGTAAGGGTCTGACGGCCCGCGCCGATGTGATTCCGCGCGGTTGAGCAGATGCGCGGGCAAGCTAACAGACGGCACATGCGGCCCAGGGAACTCTGTGGTCCGCGATGTACAAAAATGCTCGAATAAAGACAAGCCATGTTGTCCTCTGGCATTTGGACTTTCTCATCAATCACACAGTCCCTTGCTCCGATGATGCTCTCTGACAAGTGATACTATGGCGGTCAAGATAAGCCTTCCTCGAGCTGACAGCTTCAATCCATCCTCGCAGAGCCCCCGCGTGGCCTGAAGAAAGAACATTGAACCGAACAACTTTGAAAACGAACTCAAAAGCAAGCTCTGTGTGAGAAGATCCGAAGATGGGTCTCCCCGCAGGCTTGGCAACGACGTCAAACTCCCTCCAAAAGTGGATCTTGCTCATCAACCGACCGGCCTTATCCTGATCCATTACAAACCACGAGACGCTTTTACTTGCCATGCGAGTAAATCGACCCCCTCTTGATTACCGCGGAGATTGGTAATCAGGCCTTTCGATAAAATAGCTCTATACACCAGAGCTTCATGTACTGAAAGATACGCCGGACAACGCTAGAAATCCAAACAGCACAGAAGGAAGTCTCAACCACCTCGAAGCCTTTGAGAGCTGGCCATAATCAAGCTACATATCTGTTATTCCATGCCTTGATTAAAACCTACCGCCGCCACCGCCATGTCGCCATTCGTCTTCGCAGCCTCCAAAACGGCCCTCATCACCGGAGGAGCATCAGGCATCGGCCTCGCCGTCGCCAAGAAATGCCTCGGCCACGGGATGAAGGTCCTCATCGTCGACAACAACGATGACTTCCTAGCCTCGGCACGACGCAGCCTAGGCGAAGACGTCTTGACCTCCAAAGCAGACGTCAGCAGTCTCGAGGATTGGGCCCATCTCAAGAAACGCGTCGACAGTGATTTCAAGGGTAAATTCAAGTCTTGACATCCGGCCTTGTTTTCATAATTCACCCTAGATAACCATACCTAACACACTCCCTCAGGCCGCATCGACTTCCTCTTCCTCAACGCCGGGATACAGCCCTCCTCTAGCTGGGACGACCCCTCCACGTTTCACACAATCTTTAACATAAACCTCTTTGGCGTACTCAACGGCCTCGCAACCTTTACACCTGCCGTCTCGTCTTCCACCTCCCCCTCCGCCATCGTAATCACCGGCTCAAAACAAGGCATCACAAACCCGCCCGGAAACCCAGCCTACAACGCCAGCAAATCCGCCGTCAAAACCATCGCAGAGCATCTATCCTACGACCTCCGAGATTCATCCACCGGCGTCTTCCTCCTCGTGCCCGGATGGACCTTCACGAGCCTCGGACGCAGCGAAGAGGAGCGCGCAGGGGAGAAACCCGCTGCAGCGTGGACTCCTGAGCAGGTTGCGGAGTACCTCGAGGCGCAAATGGCAAAAGACGAGTTTTATGTGATTTGTCCCGATAACGAGGTGACGGAGGAGATGGACGCCAAGAGGATGCTTTGGGCCGCGCAGGATGTTGTTCTGAGGCGGCCGGCGCTGAGCCGGTGGAGGGAGGGCTTCAAGGAGAGTTTCGAGGGCTGGGCGAGGTCTTGAGGGCGCGAGTGCGAGAAGCGTTTCCGGGGCTGTTATTCAGTGTCTGGTTTCCCCCAAAGAGATACGATTAGGTGTAGATCTGATGTGACTGCAATCCAGTTGAAACGTGATTTCTTTGACTCCCGAGGTGTAGGTGGGAGGCTTCACATACCATCCGGCCTCAACCAGTATCGGCTTTTCTAAACGGCAGCTATCCCATGATGAGAAAAGGCGGGATATAGAGGAATAGCTAGAGTGCCCGGTCGTAGAAAGGAAGAAAAACAATTTCCTGCCGTTGCCACATACTAGATTGCCAAGCGCTCCTGGAGTGAACTTATCTGAGAACCGAATCATCCTTTCCTCCCGGTTTTATCCTTCATCACTTCGAAAATCCCATCAACACCTCGTCCACATCGTCTAGACCCCAAACCAGCTCGTAAACATTCAAAAAAGGCCTGAACCAAACTCCTCACCTACTTACGACACTCCATACATAAACCCCCCCGCCTCCATTCCTCAACTCTTCACCCTTCACATCGCATCATGAGAGCCAACATTTACCCTTTCCTTCTCTCAGACCATCACATACGACCATACCCATTGGAAAACTCGGGATCCCGTCCGCTCTCCCATAGATAAGCCAATGAGGGCCGGATCAGTAGTTGGGTCGGTGACGACCAGCGAATACCTGGTGTTGTATGTCTTTTGTCTTTCCTTTTGTCCCTTCACACAATAAAATCCACGATGTTGAGCTGCCCACATTGCTTTTTTTCTTAATGGTTATTTCCTCCGACGAATCAAAATCGAGCGCCAGTCTGTGTTTGGTTATTGGCTTGGTGCATGCCCATTGGCAGGAGCCCATTGCACGTGCAAAGCTGACATGCACAAGCAGGGAATAATTACCTACCTCACCTTACTTACCCCAAAGTCTAAATTCCCGCTTCCCTTGCGTCATGAACAATGGTCCCACCCGAATGACCTTGACTCGGGGGGAACCTCTTGATCTTGTTTTGGCTCACTTACACAAAAATGACGATCTTACTCCGTTGTCGGTGGCGTAGTCAGATCTCTTTACATCACACGTTACGGTCACTAGTGCACCAACGTACGGCATGGCGGACGAGGCCATCTGGACAGCACAAACGTTGGGATGATTGATGCAGTATATGCCTGTGTACATGTATATTCTCCGTGGCCCTACTGTCGGGTACGCGGAAGACTCTCCTTGCGACTCCTACTTTTTTGGGGGTGATGGTGGTTCTTCGTACAATCGGAGCGGGAACAAATACGGGCTGGAGGCTAAGACCACCACACTCAAATCTGAACCTGAAAAAGAGAGTAGATATGCGCGTCGATTTGATGCGGGTGTGGTCCAAAGGTATCATGACGCTCGCGGCCGGGACCAACCACGGTAACAAAACAGAAAAAGAAAAAGTGAAAGAATCCTTCCCATCCCGTTATCCCCCTTGGGAAAACCAGACCAGCATCCCGTCTATTCCAAAATGCCAAACTCCAAGATTCGCCGGGTTCGGGGGCTGATTCTCGACGTTGACTGCGAGGTCCCCCAAACTCCACATTATGACGGCTTGCCCTGTTCCGCCGTCCTCAACTCCGTGTGTCCAGGCTATTTGTGATGCTTCGAGGGTATGGTACCATTTCGTCCTGCCCAGCAAGATTTCAGTTTTCAAACATCATTGCGCGCTCTGTGACCTCGACCGGTTACCGCGTCGATTGCTGGGTCGCGGAGTGCTGTTCCCCTCCCGCCCGGCGCCGGCTCTCACCGCATCGGTGTAACTGGGTATCGGGGGGTGCGATGGTCCGGCCGCAGCGGCTGCCGAGGCGCCTCGACTCCGATTAAGAACGCGGATCAACGGTGTATTCTCGCTGTCTGTGCTGTTCCGACGGCTACCGGCCTCCGAGTGGTCGGGACTCGTATACTCGGGTGGCGGGTTCAAGGCGTCTTGAAGCCCAAGCCCTACGACGCTTTGCCCTTCGTGCCCGCGATTGATGCTGCTGCTTGGCTCGCCGCCCTCATCGTCGGGCACAAAGTGCGTCAGGGAGATGTCAGTCGGGCTTCTTACGGGACCGGGGCTCCTCGGTGGAAGTACTCTGAAGTTTCCGCTTCTCGTCCGCCCATGCTGAGGTCCCAAGCCACCTTGAGAGTAGGACTGCGTCTGGGAGTGCCCCCGCTGCTGTCCGCCGCTGCTGCTCGTGTACGCGTCCTTGCGTCCAGCCTCTAGTAGGATATCGCCCTGCTCAGAGCCATACGGTGGCGGCGGTGCCAGGCTGCCCGTCATCGGGGCGAGGCCCCATTTCTTTACGTTGGCCTCGATGAAGACGAAGCCGGCCTGACCAAAGTTGACATGAACAATGCAAGGCCCGTTGGCCCCGATGGCAGGGAAAAAGTTTTGCGACTTTACACCGTGAACGGCATCTTCCAGCTTCTTACCATTGCGGGTGAAGAAAATGGTGCCCGTCCGAGGACGATAGCCAACGCCAATGACATCGCCTTGAACGAACTGAGGTCCATAAGGAGTTGCGGCAAAGGGCTGGTTGCAACGGCGCTGGCCTGCTGACAGGTATGCTACGGAATGTTTGTGGAAGCCTGGATGGTTAGCGTCATGCGGTTGCGGCGAGGGGTTGGAATGCCCTACCAGGTAGTCTGAACAACGGGTACGGCTTTGTGGCCATGCCGATGCTGAGGAGCGTAGTTTCGGGCTTATCGTAGATCTTGGCTTCCCAGTAGTAGACCTCGTTTTGCTTGGGTACGGGCAGATTGCTCATGACGGTGCATTCGGAGTCGAAGAACTCAATTTCGGTGCGGCCTTCGACGAAGCAATTTGCGATTTCCAGCTCGGGTTCAAACTCCCAGGCGGAAACACCCTTTTCTTGGATGGCGAGGTATTGCGATAGAGAAATGTCGGTTTGGACGGATTCGGGAGGGTTCGCTTGGATGAATGCTACAACGGGGTCTGGTTAGTCGTGTACGGATATCGCGGTAAGGGCAATACGAAGCCTACCTTTTGCCCTGAGGTACTCAGTCCTCTGCATATCGTCCATGGACTCGAGGGCCTCAGCCTCCTCCCGGGCGAAAGCCTGCTCGTCGTCATATTCGCCCGGTCGTCCGATGCGATCGAGAAAGATGCGGCCGCTGGCCGTGTATCTGAAGAAGTAGATGACGAGGAAGATGAGAGCGATAAGGACGGCGGAACCAAAGGAGGACAGTAATCCGATGACAACGCCGTTCAGGGCCGATGATGGGGCCGACGGTGCCATGGTGGGCAGGCGACGACGTTTATCGATGCGATCCGGTCAATCGGTCGGTTGTCGTTCGTGGGGGGTTGACTCGTGAGAAGAGAGGTGGTGAGGTGGGATCGGTCGGTCGAGAGGGACGGCTGGCGTCACCGCCGCGAAAGCAGCATTCGCGGGCGAATCGACACTCGGGAAGCAGGCGATGAGAAGAAAGAAAGCGAGGAGATAGTTAAGTGGAAATGGCAAAAGAATAAAGGAAGGTCGTCGTCGACGGACGGACGGTGCGAAGAGAGAGAGAGAGAGAGAGAGAGAGATTGGCTGGGATTGAATGAGATGCGAAGAGTTGGTTGTTGGTTTGGGACAAGTTGGGTTGGCGCGGCGGGCAGCGTAGGCGTGAGCGTAAGGTGAGGGTAGGCAGGCGTACGGAGTGCTGTGGGCAGGTAAGGCCAGTACGGTAGCGTCGGTCGGCAAGGTCAGACGAGCGTTGTCGTCGTCTTGGGACTGAAGGTGAGGTACCTAGAGCCTAGAGGTGGTCGGGGGGTAGGTTAGGTTGTGCACTGCTACGACGGTGGTAGAGCAGCGAGCAGGGCGAGTGGTTGCGTTGCCACAGTTCTCCGACTGACCCAAGTCGCAGGTGGATGGGGCATGGGCTGCTCTTGTTTGTGGCGGGTCCCCTCACTCCTCTCTCAGGCTCTCTCTCAGCTGGGCATGCGGCGCAGACACCTTGGGGAAAGGTAATTTAATGTAGGTAAGCACGTAAGGCGGCAGCAGCGCAAAGGGAGTCGTCGGTCGGGTACTTTGCTTGCCCAGGCTACTCAAGGGCGATGGATGACTACCGTAACTAGGCACCTTTACTATTGAAAAGCAAGGTACTTGGACAAGGCAGATAGATAGGTTGATCACGTAGGGGGAATGGACCGGGTGGATCAGGTATCTGAGCGATGCCTTCGGGAGCCTAGAGGCAGCGTAGGGAGAGATCAAATGGGAGAAGGAATTCAGAGTTGAGATGAAAAAAAGAGGGGGGATGAGGAGGACAAAAAGAATAAAAATAAAAGCAAGGTGTGAGCAAAGGGCTGCACACGCAATCCGGTGGTTTGGTACCAAGTACGGATAATGCGTACGTATATCCTTCGTTGTGTGTTGGGGTGGTGGTGTCAAGGTAAGGTAGGTTTGTTTATTCTTCAATACGGTTGAGTAGGAGGAAGAAGGTTCAATACTGGACCGTGGACAACAAGGTCTAAAAGGCAATAACAAGTCAAGCGAGGGTTTGGGCGTTGCCGATTCCCGTCAATCAAACTGTCAAGTGCTTGCGGTGTATCTACAGTGATGAGGGTGATGAGAGAGAAGAAGAGAAGAAGAAGAGAAGGAAAGAACGCCAAGATGTCTGCATCTACGGAGTACTGTTACTAACACTAACAGTAACAGGACTACCGTACCCGCTCCGGGAAGAGGTCACTCGCAACTGGCACCGCCCGGGACTGTAGGACGAGGAAGACGGGGCGACTGGGAAGTGACAGTGGAAAAAGAGGTGAGGTGCATGCGTACGGGAGACGACGGCACAACACGCAGCTGGACAAGGTACAAGCAGGCCAGGGGCTACGGTACACGGGGAACGTCCGGGTCATGTTAGAGTCTTGCTGCCGTTTTCGGTGTGCAAAGCGAGCAATGTGCTAACAGGTGGCGGGGACCATCTTCGTACTGCGGAGTCGCCGCTCCCAGTCATTGACGGGTCTCTCACACCTGGATGACGCTGACTGACGGGTCCCAGCTCCATAACCCCCCGTCCAGCATCTCCCATCTATCCGTATCATCTCTGCCATCTTGCCATCTCGTGCGTTGTTGGCTTCGGTACCTGACCTTCCTATGGCCCCACCCGCCAACTATCGTGTACCTGCGCCGCAAAAGTGGGCTGTCCAGCAACTCTGTCGCTCACGCATTCATTCCAGGTATCCATACCTTCTATTCCAGGCTCTTCAGCCTTCAGGAACGGATGCCACCTTTATTCGTACGGACAACGCACGTGCTCTGGGCGGGCGGAGGTTGGAAGGATCCAAGACGCACAACATGCCGAGGGGCCCGATGAATCTGCAGCAATCGTCCGTCCGGCAGCTCTGGGACGGTGAACCACCGGAGACTGACGGGAGCCCACCGACCATGGCCATCCTCCTCACCGTGAATTGGTTGGACCATGCAGCCAAGCGTGCGGAGGTGTAGGAGGCTGGCAAAACATCAGCCAACCACTGCATAACTGGGCACCTTTCTATGGATAGCATTGAGCAAAATATTGGCCCACGACCTACTTTCTTCTTCCTGCTCATCAAGTCTGCGGGGTTGGTGCAACCTCGATTGACTACTGATGATATTCCTGGGAGCCCCTACGGTTACATTTACAAAGTACGTTAACGAAGCCTCCCTTGCTTGCCCGCCGTCCGGTACCGTCCATCCAACATCCAACGCCCTGGGCAAGCCCCCTTTTCGAACATCCTTCGCTGCCATTGTTTCCGTCATCAGTCTACCTACTTACTCGCAAGACGTGACAATGGGATCAAACGATGAACACCGCGACGACTGAACAAGGCATGCATTAACCACCCGTCCGGGCGGTTAAGCCTAAGCCATGCTAGGTCAAGGACCAACCCACTCGCCAACCCGCCAAAGTCAAGGTCCGACGAGTGAGAGCCCTTCCAGAGAAGGGCAAGAGGGGGGGGGGGGGGGGGGGGCCTGGAATGGCAGGGTGGCTGGGCAGGCCTGGCGCAGCCCGCTAGTTTCAACCTTCGACAGAGATTCGCATTGGGGTTTCATGCTCTGGCCGTCCTTTGTACCACCAAAAAAAAAAAAAAGTGCCCCTTTCGTCTCGAAGCCGCCGGCCGTGCTCAGCCGCAATTCCTCCCTGTCCCGTACCTACACACCTACGGTGAGCAAACGGAATCTGCGTGTCTCATTATTTACTCGACTAACCAACTACCGCGGTTCAATAATGGCATTCTTTGTTTGCGTTCGGGGATGGACAACAGACCTGAAGCAAAAATCATTCTCCCAGGGGTTAGTTAGTATTCCCAATTGGCCGCGGTCGTCCAGCGATACAACCCCTCGTCCTGTCACTGTAACGCGCAGACCATCATCATGCGCCGTATTTCCCCTTTTGCATCCGACTTCTTCATGCTGCTACCATAACCATGCTCATTCCCTCCAGTGCCCGGAGACGGTTGCGACGGGTTTTGCCCGCGTCAAACGCCCAAGCTTTAGGCGATCCTTCCCATCTTCGTATCTCTAGATTCTCGGCACCCGGCATCGTCAAAATCTGTGGAGGCACGTTCCATCGTCCCCCTTCCTGTCCGTGATCGGGTCCGAGACCTCCGTGATGAAGAGCTTCAGGGACGGGAGAGGGAGATAGCTCAAAAAGAAAGAGAGAAAAAAAAACAATCCTGCTCACGGCCCACCGCCAGACCATTGTCAGTGCCCTTAGATTCCACCATACCTGTCAAGTTCATGTCAGAAATTCCTCGAACGGCGCCGCACCCGGACGCCTCCTCTCTCCGTCCTTGTTGGGCTGGCGGCGCGCACAGTCGCTAATCGGGGCACGGGGGTGTCGGTGTCGGTGGGAGTGGATTGCGTGGTTGCCCGCTACCTGCGATGCTACCTTACTCAGCACGTCAACTTGGGCAGGTTTGAGACCCCCCGTGCCCCCCCGCCCGTAGGGCCGGATAGATCCACCATTTCTCTCAACTCCACTTTGCTCCGGTGCGGGAGATCGGCCGGACGGGAGACATGGTTTTTGGGCCCACCTTTTACGACCGGATTACTTCCTCGCGCCCGCCTCGTTGAAGTTCTTCATCGTCCGAACTGAACATGACATCTACCATGATGGTGAATGACTATGCTCTGCAACAGCACGTAATGGGGGTCGCATCAACTTTACCATGACGATCGCCTTTCAATCTGTCACTGTTGCTTGTTTGTTCATGGGGTGTCAACGTCAAAGCCTTTAGTTTTCTGGCGGTAAAGTTTTACCCCCCCCCCCCCCCCCCCCTTGTTAGTACCGAGACCAACAACCACCACAGTCCCGTTGTGTTTGCTTCCACACGCTGTGATTCACTCTAAAACTTTGAGCTTTCCACACGAATTCCACGTATACCATTCAATCGTGCGGAGTCATTATAATAGGTGAGTGTGATGGACGAACCACTCCACGCAGAAGGGCAAGCCATGATGGCTTTGACCCAAGGCAGATTCGTGAGTCCTTGACGTTGCAGAACAGGACGACGATATTCTCCGTCTCTCAGAGGCATATCCATCTCCGATACACTGCAGTGAAGCTATTTCCGATACAAAGTGATCCACTATCCACCCGTTCTTCCTTTCTATCCCATCTCCGATCCATATTCACCAACATAACCCACGCCGCCAGCGCCGCAGGGTCCCCGGTAGAATTACCACCTATCTCCGGCATCCTCTCCCAACTCCCATATTACGGCACCTCCTATCCCTCTCTCTACCACCAATCCTCTCAAGTAGACAAACATTCAATCCCCTTCTTCTTCTTCTTCCCAGTACAAGTAGTACCATTTCCCTTTCCCGTCCCACCCCCAGTCAAGTTAACCAAGATGGACCGCAAAAATAATGACAAGAAGACGTCCTCGTCAAAGGGGCAGAAGAAGATCTGCCAGAGTAGAATGCCCAAGGCACAGAGAAACACCTGCCGCCACTACCTCGGCGCCCGCTGTATTTACGGAAGAGACGCTTGTAATTTCCCTCACAGAGAAGACGAGTTGCCCGCCCACTTGGTGGAAGCAGCACGGCAGCTGGAGGAAGAGGTACAGACGAGAGCAAGATATAGCCCCGTATTCTACAACACCAACGGCAACATCACTTACCACCACGGTGATTACGTTAGCCACGGCGATTACGCTAACAGCAGCACCAGCGGTGCATACAACCAGGCGCCGTCTCGCTACTTGGGCCCGCCACCGTACTATCCCGCGGGCGCGAATTGGGGTCCACCTCAGTTCCATCATCATCATCCCCCCGGCCCACCGACGGGCTTCATCCCGTACTGGGATCCCGCTCCCGCTCACCATCCGGGCTTCGAGCCCGGACACGGATATGGCCTCCCTCTCCCTCCCGTTCCCGCCAACCCGGAACATTGGCCCGCGGAGGCCGCTGCCGCCGCCTTACCTGAGCCTAGACCCGAACCTGCCCCCATTCCCAACACCGCTCCTGCCTCAGTCACAGACTCGAAAGAAAACCATAGGACCACCCGTTGCTGGCACGGCCGCAACTGCAAGAAGCCGGGATGTCATTACCTACACGACGGGGACGTCACCGCCAGCTCCAACGGCAACGGCAACGACAATGGGAACGGCGAGGGTAGCAGCAGCAGCGGCACCAACAACGCTCTGGAAAATCACATCCAAGACGCTATGGACAACGGCCCCGAGAACGGGGGTGTCGATCTCGGCAACGGAAACGACGACAGCGCTAGCTGGGCGGGCGATGTCGCTAGACCTCCCAGCTCGAGCCCGACTGACCAGTCCTCCGAGGCAGTCACCCCACAGTCGTCGCCAAGGCAGTTACCGGCTTCCGTGGCTGGCGACGTCACCCCCCCTACCCTGGAGCATACCTCCGAGGAGCACTCCGAGGAAGAGGCTGACACAGAGCTGTCCACCATCGAAGAGGAGACTCCAAAGGCGCAGCCTGAGGAGGAACACTCTGAAGATGAGGAAGGAGAGCTCTCTACCGTGGAGCAGCAAACTCCAGAGACGCCCTCTGAGGGGAAACACCCCCAAGAGGAGGTAGACGTTCCGGCCCCTGCGGGGGAGGCACCCGATGCAGAGACTCCCACCCAGCCCCCTGCCAGACGCGGGCCCTTGGTCGTTAGCGGACGAAGCGGCTGGGGCTTGAGGAAGGTTAAGGATAAGCAGAGAGCTGTCTGAATTCGCATCCCCCTCCCACCGGGCAGCCCCATACACAAGCGCTGCGATCAGACGTCTAGGAGGCGTTAAACGTTACCACCCGGTGCCCTCACATGAACACAGTAAATACCAACATCATCTCGGTCCTTGGGTCTATAACAGCGAGAGACAGAGAGATGATTTCTCGTCGTTTTGCGAAAATGACAAACAGAAACGAAACAGGAGCAACGGGAACGACGATGATAGACCTCGAGAAATGCGTCTAGAGACGTATCCATGAGGTACTCCCCCCCCTCCCCCCCCGAATCCAGGGGCACCAATGTCGAAGATCGCCTTGAGACTGGGAATCACATCAAGCTCCAGTAAAGCTCGACGCCGCAAACCCCAAAACGCAGGCTCAAGCTCTGCTGCTCGCAGAACACGGCAACTCAGAGCCTTTGCACACAACAGTGCAGTGCGGATTAGTCTGCACCAGGGGGTTTATATGATACCTTGTTCCCATGAGCCCATCCGAGTATACGTACGATACAAAGAAAATATAAGAAGAGGAAGCTACAAAAATAACAGAAAGACACCAAAGAAAACCCACCCAAAAAAGGTAATCACGAAAAATAATGAAAGAAGCTTGCTTCTAGATATTACACGACCGCTAGTTCAGAGCAGAAGAAAGGGAATCGAAGCTTCACATCATATCATAGCTCAAGTCGGTCCGCGCAGGGAAACTACGTCAAAATTCCGTTCCCCTGTGCCCGTACCGATTCGACAAAAAGAAGAGTGGAAATCAGAAGAAGAGCAGAAAATAAAATTTCCAAAATAAGGAGAGAGAAAACGAAAACGATAGAAGAAACAACAACGTACGATAATCAGAGCAAGAAGCATCTTCTCGGCCCTACATCCAACCGCCGGCTCAAACACGAAGGCCGGCTGTCAACTCCACGACTGACGAGAAACGAATACTGTATGTCAAAAAAAGGACGGAGAGAAGAGAACCGCAACGAAAAAGAGACCGAAAATGACGACCACCGACTCCTCCTCTTCCACTACTAAGCATCTCGGAGCCTACTATAGAGGAAGACCGACAAAAACGACTTCAGGCGAGGCTTCCATGTAAAAGAGATACTACTTCGGGGCGTAGAAAAAAGACGGTTGAATTATGATAGGCGGCCTTCACAATCGATCGTATTGGCCAATGACGAAGTAAAAAAACTCAACCCCTGAGGATGAAGTCCATGGATTAACTTACACAAGAACACCAGAACGAATTCGATAATGGTCTCATTCACGGCGTAGATAGACTGGTCTCGATAGAAACGCCCTTGGCGTGAATAGAACACAAATTGATTTCTGACGCTGAACTAAAACAATATGCATTGATGATGTGAGACCCAATGTGAACGCTCTACACCCGACTCCATGCGCTAAGGGACGTCCTTGGAGCGTCCGCTGGGTAATCTGTATTTTACAACGATCCTCATCTCTTTCGATACTTGGGTCTTGTCCCCTTTACAGCGCCAACAACGGCTGCTGCTCTTCCGCTCGCCGCTGATCTCCTCCGTGCGTCTCTCTCTGAGCCTCATTTTCACCCTCCTCCGTGTCGTTGCGTCCTGATGTCTCATTCGTTTCGTCATTGTTCTGAGCTTCCGTGTTTTCAGGATTTGCGGCGGCCTCTGCCGCAGCCGCAGCGGCGGCCTCAGCGGCCTCCGCTTCTTCCCTTCTCTGACGCTCGGCGCGGGCTTCAGCCTCAAGGTGAGCAATATGGCGCTCCGCGACACCTGGTGCAATACTAGCCAGGAAGAGGAGGCCAGCTCTCTCGAGCCGCCGCACTTGATCCATCAACCAATTTGCATTGTCGTGTCTGCGCTGAGCTACCAGCCTGGCAGCTGCCCGTGTCGGATCAGGTTGACCATCGCGTCCAACCACCGCCTGATCATCCCGGGGACGGACAGGCTCATTGGCGTTGTTCGGCGCAGCCAAGGGTAGCAGATTCTCCATGTGGCGTCTGACTGGTCCCACAGCCTGGTCAAAGTAGTTGTTTAGAAGTCCAGTGTTTAGAACAAAGATGCTGATCGCGATTGAAATCACAGTGATCCACCTTGACCAGCCGGCGTTGGGCGAAGTGAACCACCACACAAAGAGGGCGAGCCTAACCACCAGCCAGAAGTGCGGCCACACTTGCGCAATCAGCGGAGCGATGCCCCCGTTGTTGGGGTGTGCTGGTACTGCTGCTGCCGCCGGCTGCCCCTGAGGCTGATGCATGGGTGGTTGCGCCTCGGGTTGCTGCTGTTGCACCTGCGGATGAGGTTCTGCTTGATGTGCTGGCTGCTGTCCTTCGTGGTGAGGCGGCGGAGTCACAAAAGCTCCTGGCCAGGCGACATGTTGAGGGCGGCCTCGCATTCTAGCGAGCGCAGAGGCGGTTTGGTGAAGAGTTGAGGTAGTATGAGGTTGCCCTCTCGGAGTGTAGTACGAGTCCGTAGCGTTGTTGATGAGTAGAGCACGAGGACCCTGAGGCGAAGACAAAATGTACACCTCGGGGCCAGACTGCGCTTGCTGTTGAGCGTTCGCAGAGTGTCTGCTGCCGCCGCTGACTGAGCGAGCCGTTGGATCAGGGGTAGGCCTCCTGCTGCTGGCTCTGGATCCAGGGGTTGGGTAGTAAGGAGTAGTGACGCCGACGGAGGAGCCTCCATTGGCGAGAGATGTGCTTGAAGCGCTCCTCTGCATGGCGTTGGTCATTGCCAATGTTGCTTGGGTGCTGTCAGCTGCCCTCAAGATGGTCTGGACGTCAGCAGGGGACAGAGGCGTCGAGGTGCCTTGACTGCCCGGCTGCTGAACATTCAATTGACCCCCGAGAAAACTCTCGTTTACCGTCACGCGATATGTCTGTCCATTCGGCATAAGGCCCTCTCGCACATACGTGTGCCCTTCTGGATTGCTAAGCGGGCTGGCCCGTCCACGAGTGGGGTCCGCAGGATTGGGGGCCGCCACCGGTGTGTCGCCAATGCCATGCATGCCCATAGACGCTCTCAGAGCCTGATTCTGGTTGATCTGCTGGTGGGCCATGGCCCTGTTCATGGCCTCGCGTTGAAGTCCGTTCATCCATGCCGTCATGCTCTGATGCTGTTGCGCCTGCAATTGCTGGAGCTGCTGCAGAGTCAAGTTTGCTGGTATCTGAGGTGGTGCTGGGAACGGTAAAGGGTTCGACGTCGGGTGCAGCGGCGTTCGTCTGGTAAAGGCCGCGGCCGTAGGCTGACTGCCATGGTGATGGACGTGTTGAGGCTGGCCGGTGGTGCCAAAGGGGCTTGGGAAATGGGCAGTGGGCGGCGCCGGGCTCGACCCTCGAGCAAGTGCCGGTGTCGGAGTCGTGGAGCGATGCGGTTCTGCGACGTCTCGAAGCACAAGGTGGATTGTCTGCTGGTCGGTAGTGCGAATCTGTCCCCAAGTCAGTCAGCAATGGGTGCAATTGTCAGCAGAGCAGTGGACTCACGACTTCCTCGCCGAGGACGGTCAGAAGAGTGTCCCCATCCTGCGCCAAAGGTCGACCCCGATAGATCAATCGCTGCTGGGCATCGGTCGGCTTGAGAGGTAGCGCTTGTCGAATCTTCTCCTTGAGCTGTCGGACGGTCGTGGTGGCGACGAGACCAGGGAAAACCAAGGGTCGACTGGAACTGGCCGCCGTGGATGGTGACAGTACCTGCAGATTTACGGACAGGTGTTCAGAAGTAGCCTCTGGCGCAGAGGGCGCGGTGGAAGACGAGGCTTCAGAGGCCATGATGAGGCCTATCGGTCATGCCACGCAGAGCGCGACGCGGCAGCTTCGTCTGATTGTCCACGGGAAAGGAGCGGTGGTGTATGCGCAGGAAGACGATGCTCATGTCACCGTGTCGTTCGTAGACGGGGAAATTTAGGACATGTGTTGCTCTCCGACTGCAGACTCTCCAGCTCAGGTACGGACCCGCTGGCCTCACTAAAAACGTGGGTACGTAGTCCGTCCCTGGGAACCGGAAGGCCCGATCCATGCACGCTGTCCCAATCAGGCGGGTGGTGACAGCCCGATTATGTAAGCCAGAAGATGGGATGCATCTGATCACTCAGTCATTAATACTACCTTGCCTTGCGGGAAGGGCGGTTCTTTTCCGAGAGTGAGGCTTTCAGTGCTGGAAGGCTTGCTTTCCTATTACCTACCCTGTTTCCTGTGGTATTTCTGGATTTTCCTACAAAGATTTGTGTATCTGAGTATGAGCTGTGTGGCACTGAAAGCAGCAATATTGATGTTCCAAAGGGGTTAATTAAGCCATAGTCACAGGAACACGAGACCTTCGATATCTCCCTTTCCTCTGCCCAGGTGTGGCTTACACTCCAAAAAGGTAAGAGAAAGATGAAGAGTCGAGTCTCTCTAGGATGAAAAGTATTAATGGTGACCTTCGTGAGGAAGACAACCGGAGTTTCTTTGTGAGACTGATGGCCTCCATGTTCGACCTATGCAGTCTATATCTAATCTGATTTACTTCAAAATAACCTTCTCAACCACGTCAAAAAGATGAAATGGTGTTCCTCGGTATTCAGTGTGTTCAAAGTCATCTCAATGTATCGGCAAAAGAACGTTGCTGCTAGTTGCCCAAACAAGACTAGCGCCCTTGGATGGTTCGTGCTGCGTCATCCCAAAGCTGCCGCTGCCGAGCTGCAAGATCTTATCGCAAGACGCCTGCTCATCCAAACTATCATCGTCTGGCCCATTGCTCGTTCCCGCAAACCCCAGCCAGAAGCCCGGTGGCCTCGAAAAATCGCAAACTTCCGATTGAGGTCCCATAAGCATCATGGCTACGCTGTACGCTCGCCAGAGCCAGCTAAGGGCCACCAACCTCTTCTCCCCTCTCCACGGCCCCTGCGCCTCGACCCGATTCTTCTCCCAGCAGCAGCAGCGCCCGCGCTTCTCCTCCCGCCTGCGGCACGCCCTCAACAACAGCAAAGTGCAGTGGTACCAGATCCCCGTAGGCCTGGGTATCGGCTTCCTGGGCCTGGTTCAGTTCTACAAGGTCTCGACCCGCGAGCGCGAGAAGCAGGAGAGGGACGACGTTCAGGATGGCGTGCCGCCCAAGAAGCGCGCAAAGATCAGGCCTGATGGACCTTGGCAGGTCCAGGTCAT